TCTACCATATTCTTGCAGAATCGGTGGTAAAGACTGATAGGAGCCTACACCTACTATTTAAAAGATGTAAGATTTTTTAAAAAGATTACCACAACAAAGGAAAAAATAATAATAATAACCACCTGAAGGAAAATAATCTCTTTTTAAAAAATTAAAAGCCAGGCCAGCCAGCCTGATCTGCAGCTCTGAAGTGCAGAGAAAAGAACAGCAGAAGAGAGTGAGAGAGAGAGAGTGCATGTGTGTTATTTCTTAGATTAAAAGTTTCAATCATCATCCAGATTTATTGCTCAAACATTAGCTAGTGCCAAGATGAAAACCAATACTAGAGCATTTAAAAAGCCTAAATTTAAGTTGTTTGCTCTGTAATTTCATTAGTGCAGGAAAACTCCCTCTTGTCATGCAGGTAGATACATCCCTGCTCTGTGCTTTCGTCAAACAGAATTACTTGGAGGCACTGAGAGGTTAGGAGGAATTGTCTTCTGTACCAAGGCTTCCTTAGAAATATTCCTTATCATGGTGAGGAAAGGAAGCTTGGCATGAATGTCAGAGAAAGAAGGGACTTTCCAGCTCAGATAATCCACCTGCCTCCTTTTAGAAGTGAAGAAACGGAGAAGGGAAGTAATTCTAATAAGATCAGAAAGATCTTTTGGGGAGACCCCTAACTAAAACCTCATTCTGCTAATTCCCAGTCCAGTGGGCTTCTCCAACCCTATTCTGCTTAACATTAAGATGTAATGTTCCTTTCTTTATTATAAATTCTATGCATAATTTCTGCGAGGCAAAAAGGCACAGAGAACATCTGTCAGCAAGCATCATAAAGGGAAAACAAAGGGTCCCACTTCATCTGTACAAGGCATAGACGATAAACAATTAAGAATGAAATAGATTCATTGGAGGCTTTCTCATTTCCCTTGGTTATTATGACCACTTGTGGTTTTTAGATGACTAATTTATATAAAATTTATCTGGAAAATGTGCAAGATTAATAAACATATTACATTGTATTTCCTATATGGTAAAATAATTCAGACTGAATTAATTTTGGATTTGCAATAATTCAAGTGCAGTATACGTGAATCTTATTCCTGCCCCCCCCCCCAATACCTTTTGTCCTTAAAGGCACAGACATCACGGTATGGTGAAAACTAGACTTGGAAACAAAAGACTTAGGTTCTAGTTTCATTTCAACCACTTAGAAGCCATATGGCTCTGGGCAAGCCACTTAAATCCCAAGTCTTAGTTTCTTCATCCATAAAATGAAGATAAGAATGATGTGCTTATCTACTGCCCAAGGTGGCTGTGTGTATTAAATGAGATTGTGACGGCAGCTAGGTGGTGCTGTGGATAGAGCTCTGGGCCTGGACTTGGGGAGTTCAAATCTGGCCTCAGATACTTACTAGCTATGTGACCCTGGGCAAATCACTTCACCCTGTTTGCCTCAGTTTCCTCATCTGTAAAATGAGCTGAAGAAGGAAATGGCAAACCACTTCAGTGTCCCTACCAAGAAAACCCCCAAAGAATAAGATGTGCCTAAAAAATGACAATAAAAAGCAGTGAAGTGTTTTTTTTTTTTGCAGGCTCTTTAGAACACAGATTCTGAAATTATCATCAGCCAGGAAGTATTGATTGAGTGCGTCCTACCAGGACTCCCAGAAAAGAACACAACCCCCAAATGTGATCTGAGCAGGGGAGAGGACAAGGGGATGATCGGTGTCAAAGGTTCCTATGGTCTGCCTCTCCTAGGGAAGCCAAGCTTTGCTGTCTCCTCCTCCCAGTTTCCTTATTGCCCCAGCTGATACTTCCCGGCTGCCCCCTCTCGCACTCAAAAAACAGCTTCTATTTTATTTGTATAAACTTACGTTTACATATCCTCACCCCTAGCAGCAGCAGCAGCCAAAGAATGTAAACCGGCACTGTTTTGGTCTTGTGTTTGTATCACCAGTGCCGGGCCCAGGGCCTGGCAGGGATAGGCACATAATACATGCTTGTGGCTTCATTGATTAGGCAGCACCCTGGCATAACAGAAGGAGTATGGATTTGGAGTCAAAGGACTTGAGTTCAAATCCTGACTCTGCCACTGACTGCTGTAGGACCTTGGGAAAATCATTTAACTTCTTGGACCTTGATTTCTTCATCTGTGAAATGAAAGGACTGGAGTAGATGCCTTCTATTGAATCTTCTATCTGTGATCCTAGGACCCTGGATTTCTGAAGGCTGTGCCATCAGAACCCAAGTTCGAGAAGCTCCTGCCATGTTGAAAAGGATCGGATATATTCCTGAATGCTTGACTCTGTTGTCAGAAGACCAGCCTTGCTAAGTCTGGGGAGATCACTCATAAATGAATTAATGAATTTTGTTGTTGTTCAGTCATGTTCAACCCCTTCATGGCCCCACTTGGGGTTTTCTTGGCAGAGATATACTAGAGTGGTTTGCCATTTCCTTCTCCAACTCATTTGACAGATGAGAAAACTGAGGCAATCAGGGTGAAGGGACTTGCCCAGGGTCACACAGTTAGTAAGTGTCTGAGGTTGGATTTGAACTCAGGAAGATGAGTCTTCCTGACTCCAGGCCCAGTGCTTTGTGCACCATGGCACCACCTCTGGAAAAGTATTTATTAAGCACTTTGGGCAGCTAGGTGACATAGTGGAAATTATGTATGTGTGAGTGTATGTATATATGTAAAATGTCATATATAAAGGACATTAGCGTTTACATATGTATATACACACAATATGTATACATATGTATATGTATGATATATGTGTGTGTAAAATGTCATTTATATGTAGGACATCAGGGTATGTATATGATGTTTTGTGTGTGTGTGTGTGTGTGTGTGTATATATATATATATATATATAATATATATATATATATATATATATATATATATATATATATATATATATATATATATTTTTTTGCATATTGTTTCCACCACTAAAATGTGAGCTCTTTGAGGGCAGGGACAGTGGATTGTTTTTTCCCCCCTTTCTTTGTATTCACTGCACAGTGCTTGAAACATAGTAGGCACTCAATAAATGCTTTTTTGACCGACCTACCACTTGTACCAGATTGTTGTAGAAGGAATTCTTCATTGGGTGTAGACTGTTACATCAACATTTATAATTTACCCTCTTCCATGGTTTTGTTATATCCTAGATAAGACTTTGTCTGTTCACTCAAGAGTCTAACCACCATTTCTGTGGGCAGTCTTCCTAATGAACCTACTAGGAAAATAAATTTTGAGAACCCAAACTGTTTGTAAGTTGAGGGCTTCATACATTAAGACAGGACAGTGGTATATAGTTACCCCTTCCACATCAAGTGGGTTCCTGGCGCAGCGCATCCCCCACCCCATGATCTGAAAATCCACATAAAACATTTTGGCCCTCCCTTCATACCAAAGAAGTTTTTTCTTTTTCTTTTATGGGGTGTTTACAGTATTTATTGTAAAATTTAGGTTGATCTTAAACAACAGTATATATATTTTTTATGCATTTTTGAGTTTCTAAACAATTTCTAGGTCATCTGGCCTTTTTTTAAAAAAAATTTTATTCTTTCTTTACTTATTTTTATTGTCTGGCCTTTGCAAGACGTCTGTGGCTACTGCAACATTTCCCATTTGATTTCTACCAACCCACTATATTGAAACCCAAGATGGGGAAAGTCCAGATGTGGAAGGGATAACTGTACAGTGGAAAGAGGACTGACCACACAGTCAGAGGACTTGGGTTCAACTCTTAGGTCTGTGACCTTAGCAGAGTCCCTTAATTTCTTTGGGCCTCAGTTTCCTCATCTGTAAAATGAGAGGGTTAGATGAGACAAACCAGCTCTAGTTCTATGATACTACACACAGTGTTTCACCAAGCCCCCACCCCCCACCCAAGCAGAAGAGCCAGGAGACGGCTCTCCCCCAGAGCCCCCTACTCTCAGCCATGATCCATTTCTCACTCTTTGTGCCTTTTTCATGAGGTGCGTCAGTCTCTCTGCTGGGACAGAAACTTGCAAGTTTCACAGCTTTTGGAAAGTCTGACGGATAAAAAGGCAGCTGCGCCACCTGGAGGAGGCCAGAACAATTCGAGGGAGAACATTTCATTAGGATCATGAGTTACGAGCCACAAGGGACCTTAATACAACCTCCTTAATTCGAAAGGTGGCCCAGAGAAGGGCACATTGACAAACAGGCAGTAAATAGCAGAATTTAGATTTGAACCCAGGTGCTCACACTATGGACTTAGCATTATTTCCATTATGATTATGATGAGCTAGAAGAGACTTGTGGAGGTCACCTCCTTCACCCCTCTCATTTTTCAGCTGAGAAAACTGAGGCCCAGAGAAGGAAAATCAGTTGGTCAATAAGCATTTATTAAATTTGGTAGTGATTTGTCCAGGGTCATACAGGACAATAGCAAAGCCAGGATTCAAATTCAGGGCCCTGCGACCCCAAGTTCATTGTGCCGTCCTGTCAGTGGGAACCGGGTGGATTAATTCAATTAAACAAGTATCAATTAAGTTTTATTTCGTGCCAGGCACTATGCTAAGAACTTTAAAGTGCAGAGCTGAAAAATGAGTGTCTGCCTTTAAGGAGGTTCCAGTCTAAAGTGTGGGAAGCAGAGTGCTACTACAGATGCACAGATGGGTAAATATATATAATTAAATAATTATATGTAATATTTTAATATATAAATATATAATATATTTAATATTTAATCATTAAATAAAATAAATAATTAAATATTTTAGAGCAACAGTCCTTTACTTGCAGTCTGTGAACTTCTAAAAATATTCCTATAGCTATTTCAAAGCAATTTTAAAATTTCTATATTTTAATATTTTATTTCTATATTTTCTACACTTTTGATATATTCTATACATATTTAATATCTCTACAACTATTTCAACATAATTGATTCCCTTTTTAATCCTATCTGTGTTATTTCATGCATTTAAAAACATTATTGTGAGCAGGGGTCCACAGGCTTTACCAGACTGCCCAAGGGGTCCACCACACAAAAATTGCTTTAAAACTCCTATTTAAGAGGACTCTGAGATATTTGGGGAGGGACAAGGGAGTCATGAAAGTGGATAGAGTACTGGATTGGGAATCAAAGAACCGAGTTCAAATTTCTCCTCTGTTACTTACTTCCCATGTGTTCTTGGGCTAGGCCCTCAATGTCTCTGGATTGCAATGTCATCATCTTCAAAAGGAGTAGATTGGACTAAAAGACCTTTCAGATTCCTGGCAGCTCTACATCCATGATCTGAAAACTTCAAGAGGGAAGTGGAACCTATTCCTATAGTTTGGGGGGTAAAGATGGGGTACCAATGTCTTGGGGTACCTACAATCTCCTCCTACAATCATGGCCTCACTCTCTGATCATCTCTACTCAACCAGAAACTCAGATTCCCCTCCTTGCTCTATTAGGTGAATATTTTGTCTCCTTTACCCTGGGTCCAGGCCACCATGACACTTTCTGTGGTCTCCTTACTTTGGGTATATCCTTTCCTGCCCTGCTCTTAGAACCCCTTTATACATTATCTTTCTCCATTAGAATGTAAGATCCTTGAGGGCAGAGACTATCTTGTTTCTATGTATTAGAATCTCCAGCACTTAGCAGAGTGCCTGGCATATAGTAAGCACTGAATTAATGATCTATCTATTTATCTAGCCATTCATTTAATTATCTATGTCTATCTTTCTATCTACTTATTTGTCTGTCTGTCTGTCTCTCTTGAAAGATTCTACAAGGCAGAGAAGAGGAAGCAGTTCATTCTGGGCACCAACAGAGGGCAGGGAGGAGAAGCACTAGCACAGAGCTCTCTAATTGGTAAGCTTCCCTAATGAGGCTATTCAGCTGTGCCTTAATGGACTGGGAGGACTCTGGTGAAAAGGAAAGAAGTCATATACAGTAGACAGCACATAAACAGCCTTCAATAATTAACCCAGTGCCAGCTAGGTGGCTTAATGGATAGAGCACTGAGTCAAGAGAAGCTGAGTTCAAATCTGGCCTTGGACACTTGACGCTTACTAGCTGTGTGACCCTGGGCAAGTCACTTAAACCCTGTTTGCCTCAGTTTCCTCATGTGCAAAATGAACCAACCCATTTTACAGCTGAGGAGAGAGAGAGAGAGAGAGAGAGAGAGAGAGAGAGAGAGAGAGAGAGAGAGAGAGAGAGAGAGAGAGAGAGAGAGAGAGAGAGAGAGAGAGAGATTAAGTTACTTGCCCAGGGTCACAGAGGTAGTAAATGTCTGAGGCTGGATATGAATTCAGGTCTTTCTGAATCCAGACCCAGTGCTCTCTATATTTTACTACCCATCTTCCTCTTTTGAAGTAAGAACTCACCATTCTACAAAAACTGATGAGAAGCCAGGAACATGGTCTGGAAGAAACCAGGTATAGGCCTACATCTCTCGCACACCGAGATAAATTCTAAATGGGTACATGACTTAGTCATAAAAGGCAAGATCATAAACAATTTAGAAGAGCAAGGAAGAAATTACCAGCCACTTACCTATGAATTGTAACTTAAACAAGATGCAGAAAGACTCACAGCAAGTAAAACGGACAATTTTGATTATGCAAAATGAAAATGTTTTTGCACAAACAAAACCAATGTAGTTTAGAAGAGAAGCAGGTAAATGAAGAAAAAAAATCTTTGCAGCAAATCTCTGATAATGCATATGGAACTTATTTAAATTTATAAGAATAAGAGACAGACTGTGCTGCATTGAAATGGAGAGCAGCTAAACACATGTCAATATAATAGACTATTACCATGTTACAGGAAAGAATGAAGATGAAGAAGTCAGAAAACAATAGACACAGTGATTATAACAAAGTACATGGAATGAGGTACATTGAACACAAACTTGCTGGTCTTCCTGAAAATACCATTTCTTATACCTATGAATTAAGGTTTTTTCTATTCTTATTAAAATGCAGATGAAATAAATGGCAGGGTAAACTAATATGAAAAGTATTTTGGTGTAGTGGGGGGAAAATGTAATGTTTCAAGTCAGGAGAGACGTAGCTTTAAATTCTGCCCCTGACACTCACGAACCATCTCTGCATCTGTTTCCTCATCTGCAAACTGGGGAAATGATAACACCCACAGAGAGAATCAGATGGGATAAGTTTTGTCAAGTGTTTGTTGACCTTAAAGGGTAATGTAAATATTACATGAAATCTAGCAGTTAGAAGCTGTTAACACCTTGACACAAACTGGTCTATCTAGATTAGCTTGTCAGAGAACAAAGCCAGGGAACAGGGAGCCCCTAGAACACAGGACCCTGCTTGAGAATGACAAGCCCGTGGGGGAAGGGCACAAAGAGGTTCTAAGTCAACAAGGGATGAAGGTTGGGCAGAACACCAAAAAGCAATAGGATTGTTCTCGAAAGCAGGTACCGTTTTGTTTTTGTTTTAGAAATCCCCAGGCCCAGCACAGTGTTTGCTTGTTTCAGTAATGTCTAAGTTTCCGTGACCCCATTTGGGCTTTTTTTTTCCCCGTCATCCTTCACTTTGCATTTTCTTTTTTTTTTTCTTTTTATAAAATATTTTAATTTTTTTTATATTTTTAGTTTTCAACATTCATTTCCATAAGCTTTTGAGTTTTAAATTTTCTCCCTGTCCCTTCCTGCCTTCTTCCCTAAAGGGAGCATAGAGCGTGGATATGTAAATAAAAACAGATATAGAGGCTCTATGTATACATTCCTATTAAACATATTTTCACATTAGTCATGTTATAAAGAAGGATTAGAACCAATAGGAGGAACCACAAGAAAGAAGAAACAAAACAAAACAGAAGAATAAGAAAGAGCAAATAGTCTGCTTCGATCTGCATTCAAACTCCGTAGTTTTTTCTCTGGATGTGGAGAGCATTTTCCAGCATGAGACTTTTGGAGATGTCTTAGATCATTTGGGCTTTTCTCGGCAGAGATACCAAAGTGGTTTGCCATTTCCTTCTCCAGCTCATTTTGCAGGTGAGGAAACTGAGGCAAACTGTGCCCAGGGTCACACAGCTAGTAAGTGTCTGAGGCTGGATTTGAACTCAGGAAGATGAGTCTTCCTGACTCCAGGCCTGGCACTCTCTCCGTTGAGCTATCCTGGTTCATAATAGGTGCTTAATAAATTCTTGTTGATCAATCTTTTGTTTTTATATCTCCTTCAATTCCACATATATCTCATCCTTCCCCTTCTTCCGTTCCCCTGACCCATCCTCCTAATAAAGACAGAAAGAAAAAAACAAGACACTTTCACAAAACTAACATTAACCACGACCGGCAACACAGGCAATGTTCCACACCCACAGTCCCCCACCTCTCCAAAGAAGGGAGGGAAATGCGTTTTCTCCTCTTCTCTAGGGCTAGCCTTGGACATTATAATTACAACACGTTCCATTTGCTCTTTCCATTTATCTCGCCATGTGTGGATATTTTAATGGCCTTTCTAAAAGCCACATCCATCCCTTTCAGAAGTTTCCTGATTTGGCTTTTTCAATGTTTCTGCGGCGTGACTATCAGACTCCCTCTAGTGGCTGAGATGAAGACTATTTTGGGTCCCATTTCACCCTTAACCCATTTGGTTTCATGTACCCACAAGTCACAATGACTCATGCTGGGAGGTTTATTTGAGGAAAGAGAAGCTGTGGTGTATTTGGCACTTTTAAAAACCACTTTATTTACTGCAGCAGATAATAGAGAATGTTAGATGTAGAGTTGCAAAGCCATTTTTTTCAATATTTTCTGAAAAGGATCTATACTTGTTTTTCTTTGCTTATTTGTTTTCTATTCCTGGAACGGCCTCTTCTCATACCTACAATAAATGGTCAAGACTCAGCAGCAATATGATGTAGGGCAAAGTGCAGTCAGAAATTAAAAAGGCAGTTTCCTGGAAAGGGTGTTGGTGGAGAAGTCACTGAGACCCCGAGTCTTACCTCTTGTTATCTGTATAATCTCGAGGAAGACACTAATATCTCTGGGCCTCGGTTTCCTCTTCTGTAAAGTCTGGGGATTGAACTAGGGGACTCTAAGTTCCCTGCCAACCTTAATTCTATGATCCCATGCATAAATGAACCCAGGCTCCCTAACTGATTACTTAAATGACCTTGGGCAAATTGCCTGGCTTGTTTGGGGCACCATTTCCTCTTCTATAAAATGAGGGGCCTCGAAGATCACTTTCAGCTTTAAGTCTATGACCCACCAAGCAGCTATAGAAAGGCAGAAATTTTTGCTTGAGAAAAAGTCATACAAATACAGTTTTCTAATTCATGCTCCATTAAAGCTCTTCTCCTTCGATTGTGGAAGTCGTCTGGGTTCTCAAAAGTTCCGGCAGGTTCTGCCAAGCTAGAGAGACTCTGAGTCAGGGCCAGGAGATAAACTGGGTGGCTGGCATCCAAGAACCAGCCCAGTGAAGTTTCTAGAGGCTTGTCAAGAGAGGGTTGGCCACTAGGTAATAATTTGTTTGCTTTTTGGGTTTTCTTTTTCAGCCACAAAAATACAAGAAAGTGATCTAGCAAGTGTTGGAGAAGGGTCTGGATCTGAATGGACAAAGACAGCACCCATACAATATAACACCAGACATTAAAGAGATGTATGAAAATATGTAAAAGAATTCCACTTTTTGTTTACTTTTTTTTTGTTTTGGAAAATATAGTTATTTTTAAACAATTATTTAACATGCAATTTTTTTCTTTCCCCCTTCCCCCCCCCCCAGAACATGGGTAGTAAGGAAATTTGTTTTGTATGACTTCATATTTGTAATGAGTTTTGTATTTCTTGCCTTCTCACCAGGTAAGGGGGTGGGGTAGAAGGAGGGAGGGAATTTGGAAAGTAAAATAAAATGAAATTTTAAAATATTTAAAAATAACCTACAAGGTAGGTTTATTATTATTATTTTAAATGAATTAATCAATACTCATTATTATCCTAGAAATATTGGGATGTTGTAATTCATTCATTGGGATGAGGGTCACCTCAAGACCAGCTCACAGATTCCAACTTAAGGATGCATGATGGTCTAATACAGTGTTTCTGCCTAGAATTTGTTTAAGTTCCACATGGACGTGGGATATCCTCAGAATACTCTCAGTATGTATCTGCAGGGCCCTCCCATCTCCTTTCAGAGGCTAATAACAATAACAGCAACAAATAAATTAGCCCTTATAAGGCATCATAATATCTGCAAAGCATTAAACACGCTCATTTCATTTGATCCTGTAGACAAGTCTGTGAGTTCAGTCTTATTCAGTGGTTTTTCAGTCGCACCTGACTCTTCATGGCCCCACGTGGAGTTTTGTCGGCAAAGGTCCTGGAATGGTTTGCCATTTCTTTCTCTGCCTGCTTCCTTCGCAGCCTCTTAAACACAGCTTAAAGGCAACCTTTGACACGGATCTCATTAGCAGGAAGGAGGCAGTGTGGGACAGAACAGAGCATGCCGAATCTGCATCTGGAGTCCGAGGGTTGATCCAAATCCAGGCTCTACTAGTTGGGAATGAGGGAAGGGAATAAGCACTTATTAAGTGCCTACTATCCGCCCTGTACTGTGCTAAGCACTTTACAAATATTATCTCATTTGTTGATTATTACTAGTTATTACCCATGTGACCTTAGGCCACTTTATCTCTAGCTGCCTCCATTTCCACATAGGTAGTCAAATTGACTTTCCCTTGGGCAAGGAAAGGCTCCCAGACCTGACTGGTCTTAATTTATTTAAATTAATTAATTTATTTTTAGTTTTCAACATTCACTTCTACAAGATTTTGAGTTCTAAATTTTCTCCCCATCTCTCTCCTCCCCCCACCCCAAGACAGCAGGCATTCTGAATACCCCTTCCCCTGATCTGTTTTCCCTTCTATCACCCCGCCCTTCTCATATTCCCTCCCCCTTCTATTTTCCTGTAGGGCAAGATAGATTTCTATACCCCATTGCCTCTATCTTATTTCCCAGTTGCATGTAAAAATAATTTTTAACATTTGTTTTTAAAACTTTGGGTTCCAAATTCTCTCCCTTCCTCCCTCCCCATCTACCCTCATTGAGAAGGCAAGCAACTCGATACAGGTTATAGATGTGTAGTCACTGCATGTACTTCTGGGAATTGTAATCCAAGTGGGCAGTATAATTTCCCCCTCTCTTGGTGGGGGGACAGGAGGGATGGTGAAAGGTTGGAAGGGAAAGATTTTGCTTGGCAATTTCAGCAGCCATGTGATGGTGGGCTGCAGTCTAGCAAAGAAAGAGAGAGCTGCTCCATCAGGCCCTTTGAATGGCCACTACAGCTGGGATACTGAGGCAGCTTGAGCTCTCTCCCAACTCACCTGTCTCTGACTCTTCCAACCTCTGAGCTGGTATATGTTTGGAATGGACTTGTCAAGTGTTTATTCCTCCCATCCTTCCCCCCACCCTCCCCCATCTGCAGGCATTTACTGTAATAAGAATTCCACCCTTTCAATTGTTCCTAATTTCTGATTTTTCATAGTGCCCTAGAAATACTTTCCCCTTTCTTTGACATGAAATTATAACTAGTGCAACTTCTTTGTGATTTTGTATTTGCCCTTAATTACAAACAGTAGGAGTCCCAAGAGAGCAGGCTAGTGAAAGGGCAAGATTGGTAGACAGAAAAAGACAGAGGTCCAACCTCCTTTGTCTAAAATAGTTAGGGTGTGTGTGTGTGTGTGTGTGTGTGTGTGTGTGTGTGTGTGTTTCCCATCCTACTTTGGAGGCTCTAAGCTATGATAGATGATTGTGTTATTTTGATTATTAATAACTTTTGACAAATTCTCCAAACAGCAGAATGTAATCCTAATCTGGAGTTTTCCTTCTTCCCTTCAGGCTAGAACTGTGAGGCTAGGTGATTTGGTAAAGGATCTGGGTACCCATGAGCCATGTTGCCTTTCTTTGAGCAAGCTCAGCAGAGTAAGGACAGTGACTATGGAGTAAGTGGCCCCAGTGGGAGGAGGAAGGTGGAGTCTACGATGTGGTCATACCATGACCCCAAATTCAAGCATGGGGGCCAGAGGAGATAGGAAGCACCTTTTGATTTTGCCGGCCTCTTCAAACCTCCAAAACTTTCCAGACAGCGCCACCAAATGGTTACATGTACAATGACGCAGTTGGACTAGATCTTATTAAGCACTGATCTTATTAAGAGATCTTTTACTCTGAGCTTCCACAGAGTTCCATTTATACCTCTCACGGCACTTTTACACGATTGGTAACACTGGGTCAGCCATGCACAGACCTCTGCAATTTACAAGGTTGTCTTCAGGACAGCCCCATGAGGTACTAGGTATCTCCAGTATCACCTCAGCCATTCCCGAGGGCCTGAAATGAACTCCTTCACCTTCATCTCTCTGTTGCCACTTTCCATGAAGCTTGACCTGATTTGTAACATTTCTACCACCCCATTGTTAATGTGTTCTCCCCCCCTCAAATTGGCCATTAGGTGGCACAGTGGATGAAGCATTGAACTGGGAGCCAAGAAGACCTGAGTTCAAATCCTGCCTCAGACACTACTAGCTTGGTGACCCTGGGAAAATCACTTAACCTCTCTTACCCTCAGTTTCATCATCTGCAGATGATGAAACCCGCCTCTCAAAGGTGCTGTGAGGACCAACCAAGGAAATGCATGCAAAGCACTGTGTAAAACTTAAAGGGCTACATAAAAATTAGCTTTAATTGCTCCTTGTTGTGAAATGATCCAACCATTTTGGAGAACAATTTGTAACTATGCCCAAAGGGCTACAAAAATGTGCATACCCTTTGATCCAGCAATAGCACTTCTAGGGCTATATCCCAAAGAGATCAAACAAATGGGAAAAGGACCCACACGCACAAAAATATTCATAGCAGCTCTTTTTGTGGTGGCAAAGAATTGGAAATTGAGAGGATGCCTATTAATTGGGGAATGGCTGAGCAAGTTATGGTATATGAATGTAATGGAATACTGTTGTGCTATAAGAAATGATGAACAGGCTGACTTCAGAAAAACCTGGAAAGACTTATATGGTCTGATGCTGAGTGAAGTGAGCAGAACCAAGAGGACTTTGTACACAATAACAGCCACGTTATGCAATGACTAAGATTGTTAAACTGAACACTTCTCAGCATTACGAGGATCTAAGACATCTCCAGAGGCCTCGGGATGGAAAATGCTGTCCACATCCAAAGAAAGAACTATGGAAGTCGAATCGCTATCACTTATTTTTACCTTCTGTTGAGTTTTGTTTCATCTTTCTGATGGTTCCTCCTATTGGTTTTAATTTTTACTTACAACTTCACTAATGTGAAAATATGTTTAATAGGAATGTAAATGTAAAGCCTATATCAGATTGCGTGCCGAATTGGGGAGGATGGGGGGGAGGAAGGGGAGAAAAATTTTCAACTCAAAAGCATATGGAAGTGATTGTTGATAAATCAAAATAAATTAATAAAAATAAAAAAAAATTAGCTTTAATTCACTATTTTTTGGGGGGGCTAGGCAATGGGGTTAAGTGACTTGCCCAGAATCACACAGCTAGTAAGTATTATGCTTCTGAGGCTGGATTTGAACTCAGGTCCTTCTGACTCCAGGGCCAGTGCTCTATCCACTGAGCCACCTAGCTGCCCCCCAAAATTAGCATTTATTATTACCACATTATCTTGTATATAGTTATCTGCAAGCATGTTGTCTCTCTCCAGTCCAATATTTCTTAAGGGCAGGACTATTCCTTTTCTTTCTTTTTTCTTTTCATCTTTGTATCTCTAATACCCAGAGAAGTACTCAACATACAGCTCACACTTAAAAATGTTTGTTGAATTGAATTTTCTTCTCTAAGTCTCATTTTTTCTGCCAGTAAGTGGAGATAACAATACTAGCACTACCAACTTCATAGGGTTGTTGTGAACAAAAGTATTTGGAGATTCTAAGGCTCTCTACACATGTGAAATTATTATTATTTTTGCCTATAACCATAATTTTTTAGGGTGGAACACTGTACAAATGGAATTTCAATGAACAGACGAACAGGCATTTATTAATTAGACACTGTGCTAACAAAGCACCAAGGATTCACATACAAAAGGAAAATAGTGCCTGCCCTCAAGGAGCTTGCAGATAGCACACATCAGAGACTGGTGGCCAGGAAGGAATGTTTTGGTCTAAGAAGTAACAGGAATGTTAAGAGGGATCATAGAGCAATTGATTGACATCAATCCATTAATTGGTGCTCCTGAACTGGTTAGAGTTGATACTGCTCTGTATTTCATTAGGCTTGTGTAATTTTTAATGGAGGGATCTTTCAATTTCTTATAGCATAAGGAATAGTAGATGTCACTTTTAAGGCATATGAAATACTGCTAATTTAAAATTAAGTAAATGCAAAACTCATCCATTACATTTTATTGCTATTTTCCTATTATATGGTACAGCTTTTATATCTTTTAATGTCTGTGGTTAATATCCCTGATGGAATTGGGCATGAGCAAAGTACCTATTCAAAGTTCTCCTTATGGAAATCATCTACAGCTTGATAGATGGACACAGGTGTGAGAGCTGGTGTGGACACTGCTAGGCATCCACTTTGTGGTGCTGCCAAAGCGCTCATCCAATCCTGGCTTATTCCCTGGCTTTCTGCAATCTACAG